ATAAACTTTGATCTTAATTTTTGTACCTTAACCCGAATAAAATCGAATTACCTTAATTTTTTTTTCTAATGTAATTAACGAAAACTTGTGAAAATATTTCATTCAAATTAAACCATTCTGAGAAAACTGTCCTGTGAAAAGTATAGCATTTAATTCCGTTCAGAATGAAATGTTGTTTAAAAATATGTTGTTTTCACATACTTAGGACTCTGAAGTGTTGTAGAAAAAGAAAATATATACATTTATATGTATATATTTGCGACGTAATTACAAAATATTTACACCCGAACCCGAACGCGTCAAATCCCATAGAACTCAATGGTAAATGACCCAATGTTTTGGTCACCACGTACGGATCGCCGGTGCTTCAGAGCAGGGTACGGAGAAACTTGTTTAGGGCAACTCCTTCTTACTTCCTACCTCCATGCATCAAGCAGATGGGTGTCAGGGGTAAATGAATCGGACTCCTAAGGATGAAAGTAAAGTTGCTGGTTACGCTCCCCCCCCATTAGTGGATACTGTCGGAAAGACGGTGTAAAGGACGTGCTTTGAGCAGTTTATCTCAGTCAAAGAATCTCTAAGGATTAGATTCTTTGTCTCAGTAGTTCACTCTTATTGTACTCGCTGTCACTTAACGCACATTTAAGAACACAAATTTTCCTTCCTGCGAGGATAACTAACTCTAAGCATCGGATAACAATACACTAGATACGAATGGCATGGCGAGATAATTTAGGCGTTTCCTAAACAAACTCCCCCAAATTTATTGCTTTTCTTCCCTCTTAAAGAGCTTGGTTTCCGCAATGTGAGTGAGGGAACTTTACTTGAACGTCTCATATTCTCATGAGTTTCGTATTTCTAGGGAAATAGAGTTATTGCAAGGGCTGCTTATTGTTAAACTAAAACGTTAGGAATTCTAAATTTTTTCCCTTTAAATTGTGGTTCAGTTTTATAAAAAGAAGTACCGGAGCTCATCTTATTTAGGGCTCCGGTAAGCTCCGGCTAAAATTGTAATTTATCTTAAAAATTGAGAAGCACCGGAGCCGGGCTCCGGCGCAATTTAAGCACTGAATAATTTTCTTTTGTAGTCAATGGGATCTAGATTATGCCGATCAGTTACCGGTGCATATTTGGCCATTTACTGATCTCCAGGAATAAATTATTATGTTTTTGAAGTGGAAAATGTTAAGTGTTTCTTTTTTTCCCCTGTCCAATGTATTTTGGGGATAGTTTAGACAGAAAAAGCATAATAAAAAAATGGATTGTATTATGCTGACTTTTTCTTACAACTATGAAAGCACAGAATTTTGACGTTTTGACTTAATCTATGGAAGAGGGGGGAAAAATGAAGAAATGTAGTTCTTGTACTGTACTTGTATGCGGAAGACAGCATAATATGTTGTTACAAAGGATAGTAAAAAATAAGAATAATTCAGTTTAGCATTAACAGCAATTCAATTTAACATTAAAAGCATATTAGTGTCTCTAAGCACCTGTTGCATCACTAGTTTAACCAAATAATTTGGGGTCATTTATTCTGGCAAACGAAAACTACAATAAAAGTAACAGTAACAATAATAAGGAAAGCAACTACTGCACGATAGTATAAGACAGGACTTAAAAGAGACAGGACTTATTTATCCCTGGTATAAGAGCAGGACGATTATTAGCAGCAAGGCTGCAAGCAAATTTGAAGAGAAATATGAATACAGACACAAATACAGGCCAAATACTCCGCGATCACTAATAGACGGTATTCCATCACAACTTATTTATAACCATTATTTGGGCAGTGAGCTCAGAATTTAAGGAATTTTCTGTAACCTGAGAATGCACATAAGTATCCCGAAATGACTATTTTTCTTCCTCATGTTTAGTTGTATCGGACCGAAGCAAGTGTGAAGATAGGCTCGAATACACAATTGGGCGTGTCTGAGCTGCTGTATTCCCACTATTACACGTATTGTTGCCATTTCTCTTGCATCTCGAAACTTCTAATTTAAGGCATTTCTCCCCTTTATCGCTTTTAACTACGGATAAGTGAAATTGTGGATACTGAGTTAGAGTACACAGGGGGACAAATATAATGCGAAATCCATTTTATATGGCTGAAAACAGGCCCTGACATTTTAGATGATATTAGCAAAACTACACGCAGCACTATCTTATTCATGATTTATTATGTTAGAGTACTGCCAGGAATTTGGGCAACTTGTTTTTTATTTATAAACCAGGTCTTCATTTTGCTTACTTGCGTGATAGAATAAGATGATTCAAGCATTTGACGTAATAATTATAATATTAGTGAATAATGCAGTGGAAATAAATTATTTTTTATAGCATGTGTAACATATTTAATGACAACGGTAACATAGCGATCTTGACAACAAGACGAATACGGTATGAAATTTGGGTGCTGTTATAAACCATAAAAATAAATGCTAACACATCGTATGCAGAAATTTCTTTTAAACAAATAAAAATTCTAGACACAAGTTTCTTTTTGCCGCCGCCCAGGCGGTATAGTGGTTAGGGAAGCCTGACTGCGATACCGACGGGACTGGGTTCGAATCCCGGAGAAGGCATGGTTGTAACTGTCCGTCCTCCTTCACAGGAGGCGATGGTGGCCCACCTATTAGGTGCCTCCATAATAAAGAGGCTACCACATCTGGCTTTGTATAGATTAATGGATTCTGTTACACTGTAATTTTTCACAATCTAAAAGTTTCTTTTTACCTCATCTAAATAAGGAGAAGCCGATATTTTCGTGTAAAATCCCTGCATATCTTTGTTTTTTTACTTCAATCTGTTTAATTTCGTCTTTCCTTAGCCCTAATAAAGGCAGTTGCGGGTCCTTCAGAGGCCAAAATGGATAAAATCGCTGAACATTCATAATTCGTTCTAGCTTCAGTTCTCTGTGATAACTTGCTGAGTGAATTCAAGGTCAGTTTCTGTGAAAAGTCCTTTACAAAGGCATCGCTTTACTTAGGAAAATAAAGCACAAGTGTTTTGTAAAAATCATCCAACCAACCAAAAAGCAATCGCATATTCAGTTTAAAAGCTTAATTACTGTTTGATTTCTTCAATTAAAAATTGATATGTTTACACTCTTAGACAAAATAAGACGCACCACAACGCACCGAGAAGATATAAAGCAAATTGGATACAAATTGATATGCATACAGGTTTCGACGGAAAATGCAAAATTTTACATTTTAGCTGCCAATGAATGAACGGTTGTTGCTACAGCGCATCTGATCTGCGCAACTGGCAGGATATTTAAGAGGAGAAATTACGATTCCAGGTCATAAATTCTTCACGAACTTCATTCCGTGTACTTTGGTAGACAGTAACTATGCCTGGCATACAGGTGCATGAACGATATGCGCAGATATCAGAATTTGAGAGAGGTCGTGTAGTTGGGATGAAAGAAGCGGTTGGTCTTATCGGCGAATAGCTCGACATTTGAGCAGGAGCAATGCCACTATTAGACGATGTTGGCAGGACTGGGTGAACCATGGCCGCACACAGCGTCAAGAAGGACCTAGAGAAACGACAGAACGTGAAGACCGAGCAATCGTCAGAGCGGCACTCACAGCCCCAGATGCATCATTATCATCGATTGCACGTGCAACTAGTGCTTCAGTGACCGCAAGGACCATTCATAGACGGCTCACAGAAAGGGGTCTGAGGTCACGGCGCCCTTGCGCTGACTACCATTGACCTCTGTACAACGTCAAGCCCGTTTGCAGTGGTGTCGGGCTCATTCGCACTGGAATGTCACTAACTGGAGTAGAACAGTCTTCAGTGACGAGTCCCGCTTTGAACTCAGCTCCGATGACCAGCGAAGGCGAGTCTGGAGACGCCCCGGACAGCGGTGTGATGCCAACCTGACTGTATTCCGGCAGACAGGCCGACAACCAGGAGTGATGGTCTGGGATGCCATTTCATTTCTTAGTAGGACCCATTTGGTTGTCATCTGTCGCAACCTTACAGCAAAGCGGAGTTCTAAGGCCCTTTGTGTTGCCCTTCATGCCACGCCATCTTGGGCTTACATTTCAGCAAGATAATGCCCGCCCCCATATTGCACATCTTTCTACTGCTTGCCTTAGTGCTTGCCGAACATTACCTTGGCCAATAAGGTCGCCGGATCTCTCTCCTATTTAGCGCGTTTGGAGCATTATGGGCGGGGCCCTTCAACCAGCTCGGGATGTTGACGATCTAACGAGCCAGTTGGACAGAATTTGGCACGATATCCCTCAGGAGGACATCCGCAACTTCTATCTATCGATGCCAAGTCGAATAACTGCTTGCATAAGGGCCAGAGGTGGACAAACGCGTTACTGACTTTTTCCCTTTGTGAAGCTCTATCACTTTAATAAATGATCCAATTTTTCTCAAACTGTAATCATTTGTTTTTCTGTACATGTACATCACTTCTATCGATTTTCGTCTCATTCGGATAATTCCTTCTTGGTGCATCGGTTTTTTTTTTTTTTTTTTTTTTTTTTTTTTTGTCTAAGAGTGTATAAAGATTTTCATGGAAATCAAACTCTCTTGAAGATGTTACCAATATTTCAAAAATACGAAAGCTTGTACATTGCGTTTCTTTTTATTTGAGAATAAATCTTATTTCATGAATATTTTCGTCCCTTTAGTAAATATACACTTAATACCCCTTTATCTTGACCAAACGGCACTCTGAAATGTGTTAATAGATTCACTAAATTGAAAAGCGCTTAATGTAAAATTATTCATATTTAGTTGTTGTATTCACACAGAGTTAATGAGAATTATAAATGAATTAAGTCCTTGTACTTCAGCAGCTCTGTAACAGTTTGCATAACCGCTACGCTGACATAAAGCAGACTTTCAAAGTTAGGCGTTCAAATGTAGTAATCATCATAGCTTATTTACAAAATGTAACTATCAAAGTTAAAAGTCACTGAGATTTAAATTATACGTATAAATTTTTTTTACAACTTGAATCAAGGCAATCATTTCACGAAATCATGAACTTTTTTAATTAATATTTAACCATAACATTAACATATATATTGAATTTGAAAGAAAATGCCAATATAATTCTTCCTGTTCAAATAAAATGAGTTATTTCATGATGATAAAAATAACTTGTATTCTTCCTGTGACAGTTTTTAATTAAACTGCAAACTGATGCATTTTCTTTGGAGAATTTTCATACTTGAACACCCGATTTCTGAATTCTTTGTTCCCATTCGTCAATCAAAGTGCTTCTTCGTCTGGTTTGATTTGCTGCAAGAACCTGTAAAATACAAAGTGATAGTTAGTACACATGATTTTAGGAATTCAGAGCATCATGTTCTGTGCGTGTTAAAAGTTGACTATAGGCTGTGTTTTATTTAATAGTGATCTTAGACATGATCTTCCTACTACAGATCTACTTATAATAAGTTAGAGAATTTTATGAAAACAGTTTAAGCATGGTTGGTGGAAGGATTCTGAAAGAGTTTTTATACACTGTGTCACACAAAAGTCCTAATCCGGCTTTTATTTTCAGAACCATTAGCCGCAAACATATACCTTCCTTTGCAAAAATGCATCAAATGATGCAAATTTTCATATTTTGGCACTTTTAAACTAAAATACGCGATTTTGTAAAATCTAGCTTTTTATACTATGTTCCTCCAGTTTCTATACATTTAGGAAAATTTTATACTGAAAATAAAAAACAAAATACAAAACTTTTGATTCATGTATGACAAAAATTGACTGAAATATTTCATTTTAGAGTTAGAAAACATATTCATAGGCCGTGCACAAACTGAACAGCGAAATGTTTGCATTTGCATGTAACTAGAAAGAAAACATGAGTTTAGAAAATGGTTTGTGATGCTAATGTATTTTAAGTGACGAGCGTTTCTGTGCGGAATGTCGTGAAAAGTATTGATCAATACAAAGTTTTTCAAAAAAGAGGTCTTCTTCATAGATTATTATGGAATTTCATGTTCTAGAAAAACTGTCTTTAGCACTGGCACACACGCAGCTCCTAACAATATTTTATGAATTATAATATTTCTAGTTTCACAAATATTTTATATGTTATTAGATAATGATTCTAAACAAATAAAACTTTACTAACATATTAATAACATATTTTTAGTGTCTGGAAACTTATAAATTTCTAGTGTGAAAGTTCTTTCGGGGTACAGTTTGAAACCAAATCATAAATTAAACAATATTAGGCGCTAATAAAGAGCAAAAGAATATATTGAATCGCATTTAAGGGGAAAAATCAACTTCGAATTATTCTAATTATTTATTAACGACGTCTCAGTTCAAATTCAAAGTGACGTTAAAAAGCATAAATTTTGAAATTGAATACCGCGATCAGTTTTTCGTGTAAGGGAGTCGCACTTCTTTGTAAATCGCATTTTTTAAGAGAAGTATAAAATTTTCTTAAACATAAATACAGGAAAAAAAAGGACCGTGTAGAAAATAAGTTTTCTTAATTTTTATAATTTTTTTTAAAGTACCAAAACATTCGTCATTTAAGACACCTTTGTAAGTTGCAGTGCATGTTTAAGAACAACAGTTGCAAAAATAAAGCCCGAGTAAGGACTTCTGAGGAGACGATGACTCTCGTGGGGTAAAATTCCATTGGATAATGTTTAGGAGTTTTAACGAGTTAAAAATAAAAAGTTCCATAACTTTGATTACTAAATTTGTGGCGATAATCAAGAACGAAGTTCCGGATATGAGATAATTTTTTTTTAATAGTTATTGCTAAAGTAATTCAAAGTTTGTAGAGACATTAGGTAGTTTTGGAAGCCGGAAAAATGAAAAATGAGCAAACGCCTTCGCCGAGAATCGAACTGCGGACCTCTGGATACCGGCCCAGCGTGCAGAACCACTACACCATGAAGGCACGTTAGGAGAGCGGAGAAATACCTTATACGTTTTCAGGAAAATATTTGTTAATCAGCTACAACACAAATGCTATAAGCAATTAAGGGTTAGTCTTATGTAAAATATCATTTACTAAGATCATATTTACTCAAAAATTAGATCCTCTTACATTTTAGGATAAATTTTAATACATAAAAAGCGAATATTATGAGCAATATTCTGGTTAGAATCCAGATTTGTTTTGATTTGAATGAACGCAGACTTAATAAAGCAATATTTACGATGGGCAAAAAAAATTAATGTTGCAGTACTACCTATTTGTTGATGGGCCTGCTAGTACCCAGTATAGAGGATGTAGATTGAAAAAGTTCAGCTAGACGTGGGCTACTTTAAATAATGGTAGTTGTGCAGTTTATTAATGTATGGTAAATACGTACGTTGTGATTTATTTATATTCAAATAGTGTAAACGTTATATATAATCTGATAGCTATTATTCTTTATAGTGAAAATACAAACATTAGCCAATGAATTAGAAACTCAAGATCAATTTGGACCACCTTTTTTGAACGGATAACAGCTGTGATTCGTTTGGGCACCGAGTCAACACGCTTCTGGATTGCATTTTACGTCCAGAAAAATACTATGCATGTAAATTATACAGTAATTAAGTAATAAATAAAAAGTACACAAATACAACTATTAAAATAGAATTAGAAAAAGCTCCTTTGTCACTGCGAAATTCAAACGTTTTCAAGAGATGGAAGAATCGCACACCGATATTACCGCTTTATGCAACATTATCAGTTATGTTTCTGTTTGCTTTTAATTAGCTGAAGCAACAATATCAGATATTTTAAATTATATGTACCTCTGAAAATTAAAAACGCCACCCCGACACAACCATTCTGCCAAAACGAAAGTAAATAAACTGTAATTATTGAGAGAAAAATTCAGTGAATCAAATAATTCATTAAGTATGCAACAAATTGACTGAATTGCCAAAAAGAAATAAGATACATGCAAATCTGTTAACAATGGCGAAAATAAAAATCTCATTTTATACAATCTGGAGTAAATTAAATTAAATTTTCATCTAATTCAATCTACCCGCGTCTATATACAAAAAGTCCTACCAGTGACCGAACAGTAATGTCTCTTCACACTGGTAATTCAGTCTGAGGTTCGAATCCCGCGAACAGGCTAACTGCATGAACGTTTTCGTGGTTTTCCCTATGTGTAACATGTATACGAACCAGTTTCCCTTAGAAAGTCCTCCATGAAGGCATCCCTTCCCTTAGGTAGATAGCCCTTGAGGCTTTGCTGTAATCACATAAACCAAACCAAACCAAACCAATGTACAAAAAGAATTAATAAAAAATATGTAAAATCTGCGCTTATTTCGAAGCTGAAAACTAATGAAAATAATAGCCGATAAAAATTGTTGGTTGAAAAAGAAATGAAAATCAGGGCTACTATTCGCCACAAAACCCAAGCCGAAGACCATTGGCGAAAGAAGCTTCAAACATTTTTGAGAAAAACTATATTTTCAAACGGATTAACTAATTAAATTCTGGAAAATCCACTAACTTTACTTAGTTATTTTTAATAATTCGAAATTAAATTAAAAAAAAATTATAGTTCATTCTTTGCCTCTTTAGTTACAATTTAACTTAATTATATAACTATTTTATGTTTATATCAGCAGCTATTGCGCAGGACATTTTTTGGAAGTTCTATTTACGTCAACTTTTTGAATTTTAGTAATAATAATAATAACAATATATCGTAAAGTTTTGAAATTAATCGAGACATCAAATTTGTTGCAAATGTTATTTTATTACATGCTCACATTACCTCAGTTTTCTCTCCTGCTGAATCATCATTTCCATTTTCCGATTGGTTAGCATTATCGTAGTTGTCCAAACAAAAACTTTCACTCTGATTTACGTGCATGTCTTCTTCTGTGTTGTCCGAAGTCTGCTTGTTCAGAGCCATGAGTCTTTCACGCTCCTTTCTGTGAAATGAAAAAATAAGCCAGATATGTAAGCAAAATCATTAAATACCATTGTCCGAAAAGCAAACTGTTTTATTTGTCAAATGCCTAACATAATTAATTTAAACAGCCGCGCAGTCGGTATGGTGGTCAGGGAAGCTGACTGCGATACCTAAGGGCCTGGGTTCGAATGCCGGAGGACATGGTTGTAACTGTCCATCTCCTCCTATTAGATGCTTCCATAATAAAGAGACCACCACATCCGGCCTTGTATAGATTAATGGGCTGGGTTACATTTGTAATTGTTCACAATCTGCCATTGGAAAAAAAAATAATGATTTAAACAAGAATTCTTTAAGAGTTTTTTAAATGTACACAAAAAAGCTGTTTTTAAAAACGAATTTTTTATAGAAATGCATCTGAGAAGTTAAGTAGATAGGCAAATGGCAGCAATATATGTTTATAGATGAAAATTATTCTCTTAATTCTTCAAAAAAAATCACTGACTTTAGTAAATAAACTCTGTTTTTGGAAATTGTACTGCACAGTAGTTACTGAAAAAAAAAAAAAAAAATCTAAGCACGAAGTAAACAGGAACGTGAATGCGTACTGAATATTTTGGAAGATCTTCATATCGAGTTTATTCCATAGCGCCAGCATTAGGCTACATACAAGCATTAGGCTACTTTTAAAATTAGCAGGAACACAAATTTTAAATGCGAATTCTTCATTAGCATATAAATTATTTAAAATATTTCCAATAAGGTAATGTAGCAATATATAACGAATTAAGTCTTAGAATGAAATTAATAGTCTTTTATTAAAAATATTCGAAAAGATACAGGGACTTTTACAAAAGTATACTTTTAATAATTAAAAAAAAAAGAGGCATGAAAGATATTACGCTAAAATTTAAAGAGAGATTGTGTTAAGACACACCTATGCGCAAAAATCAAGGATGAGGAGGAGAAATTAGCATAAAAGCTAAATAAAGCAACAGAATAGACCGAAAGACCAATAAGGAGAGAGACTTGGGACCAGTACAGTAGGGCATACGCGTATATCCCACATGGCTAAGGGGGAGTAGTGTCTGAAGGGTACAAAGCACACGGGCGGTGTACCCTCATCAGTTTGGTGAAAGCAACTGCACGGTGTACAGGGACTTCAACGACGTCGAGTTGCTAATATCGTATGATATGGCCAATAGAGAATTCAGGAGACGTAATCTGGGTGAGTTTACCCGAGATCGCGTCATTGGGAAATTGGAAGAAAATCTAAGTATGAGAAATGTGGTGGAGGAACTCGGGATGGCTCACAGCTCCGTTTGACTAGCCCGGACAGCATTTCAGACGGCAAGAAGAGGTGTCCGAGCGTTCGGAAGTGGTCATCCACCGGAAACAGCGGCAGCGAATGACTAGTACATTGTCCTACAGGCGAGAATAGACAGGCAGCAGACAGCGGGAGAAATCAGACAGCGCAAGGCATATGCAGCAGATTACTGTATGTTCGGTTTCCTGTTTTACCATAGCCAAAGGGCTGCACATATGAGTTGTGCCCGAGTCTACCTTTTCAAATAGGCCTTTGCATTTTCTTCTTGTTTGGATGGTTTTGCTCACTTGTCACATGGTTTCACATCTTGGGGGGTATAGAGTTCCTCACTTTTATCTTGTTAAATGTAATGCCCAGGAACCTAGTGAACTGCTAAGAGAATAATCACTCAAGTCCAAGAAAAGAAACGTAAACTCAAGAAGGGTTAATTTCCCTTTATTTACTCCAAATAAAGATTTAACAGTCGGTCCATTTCGCAGAGCGTACAGCAAAGCTTCCACTTGGGCTTAAAATGTAAGAAATAAGAACTAATTAATGACCAGCTAAAGAGATTTACACAAAGCTAACACAATTCTAAACTATTTGGCCTATAATGTTAAATTAGCCAGCGAACTATTGAAAGGCATGTAATACGGCCGGGCGTAATAACAGCTTAAAAAAACGTAGCCCAAAGGCAAACGCGTGCTATTCAGGAATCCTAACTCTCTCAGTCGAACTTGATTTAAATACAACTCTATTTCTCATTTGTATTTAACGCGATTCTAAGAACTCATTCTGGTAGGGAGTTGAAAGCTGAAGATAGGAGAGACAGGAAAGAGCATAAACTTAAAATAACTGTTACAAAATTAAAATATACCTTACAGGGGATCTTATGGTATGATTTTGGTCGATGTAGCATGCTTCTGCACAATTTACAAACTTGTCCATAAATTTTGCCTACCAGTGTACGTGCGGGTAAATATAAACTTTCCCAGCGTATTATCTGGTGACTAGGCGGGGGACCTGTTTCACATGACTCAGTAGATAAAATGGTCACGATTAAAATGGACATTAAAAGGCATTTTGTGCTTCGGAACTTAGCAAAAGGGGAAACCTTACCCTGGTTCAACACAAATTTCAATCAAGCTTTAGAAAATCACTTACAGGCAAAAAATCTGTCTATCATTGGCAAAGAAATTTAAACGCAGGGACTGTTTGTCCAAAGCGGAATGTCATGAGCCTGTTTTCATGGTTGAAGAAAAAAACTGAACGTCTTCCGGAAAATCCGAAGAGAATCAATAAACAGTTTTTTAGTCAAAACTTTGAGGATTTATGTTCAGGACTTTGAACACAACAAATTAAGATGATTCCTTATCGCCTGCAATGAAATGTTGCGGAAAGGGTGACTAGAAATATTGCTAAAATCATTCGCAGCTATGTAAAAAATTCTCATAAACGCTGGGACATCTACGCCAATAAACTTGCTTCGCCTTGAGGACGGCTAAACATGATACTACCGGGAAGACCCCAGATGAATTATTTCTTGGCAGAAAGTTAATTACCCCTTTGAATAAACTATTTTTCGTGCAAAAGAATACTGAGGAGTTTTTGAATCCAGGAAGTGGCAAGTGAAGTTATAAGAAATTCTAATATGGCTAGAGGAATGCAAAAATTTTATTATGATAAGAAAAAACGCGTGAAGTTGACTTTAAGGTGGGAAATAAAGTCTTGAAAATTAAACATTCTCTTTCATACGCCTCTCAAGATAAGTGAGGAAGTTTTGCAATAAGTTGGAAGGCCCATTTTTCATTGAGCAAGTAATGGAGTCGGTCGTGTATTTGACGGCTCCAAATGAAGAAAGTTTAAAAGCGAATATGGATCAAATTAAGCGCTATTATGAGCGCAATGATATGCTTCTTATAAAGGAATGTTTCGTAGGAAGCACCTGGTATCCGAAACGAAAGGCCAGCTGGTGCAAATTGCTTAATCTTTTCAATATAAATAACTTATAAATGTCGCATGAAGTACGTTTGCTAAATTACTGTTGTAAACATAAAAGTTTTCTGTTAATTTTCTGTTTCATAAAGCAAATAACATTTTCACGTTTGTTTAACTTCGATACTAATCTAAGTTGCGCAAAAGCGCTTATTCTTCTGCTTGCAGCCAAAGGCCTCAGAGCACAACGCCAACTTCCCCCCCCCTCCCCGCCTAGAGGTCAAAACTCCTAGCGATTGATGCCTCAAGAACCACCAGCGATGTCCTATGTCTGAGTTCTATCAGAGCGTGAGAGTCTATTCAGAGCGTGTTTCGCTAGCCAGCGCACATTTCGTTTCTGACCTTGCTATTTCGCGGAGTTGCTGTTACGTTTATTGGTCATTTGGAATAATTATCACGCCTGTTAAGTTGTCGAGTCAGCCTAGTTAGTCGTAAGTAAAAAGTGCTAATCCAGCACTATTCTTTTTAGCTTTGAACTGATTTGAGTAACAACGCTTAAGTTCCACCGCAAATTGTCGGTGTTATTGTAAAGCACGAAGTACGTGCCTTTCTTTTCATAATTGAAAATAATAAAGGGTTATTTTCACTCTTCTTCTGTGCTGGTATTATTTCACGCCTATGCAAGAAGTCGCCAGGTTCATTAGTAGGATCTAGATTAGTTTATATGGCCAAAGACAGTATACGCTACTTAACCAATCAGTCAATTACTTTATTGTTAAGAAAGACTTTATTCCGTTACCAAAAATGTAAATGAAATGAATCGTTAAAATTAATAAATGCTGAAATATTTAAATGAAAACATCAGAATACTTAATGCTTTCTTTCTCTGAACAATGCATTTTATGTTTTCTTAAAGCAATAAAATCAATTTGCAAAAATTTTTAACAAAAGCCCTTAATGCAAAATTTGAAGTTCGTGACATATTTACTTATTTTACATCATTTAAAAATAACGTAATAGACAAAAAAAATTTCCCTTCATCTGTAGCAGATTAATATCAATAAATTATCAGCAGACTTAAAATTACCTCAAAATTTGTCTGAACATTGCGATTTTAAAATTTATTTAAATCTTAAAGGAGTTGTTTTAAATGTGCTTTGTAGCGTCAGTCATATTCCTCTTGTGTGTATTCGTTATGTCTAATGGTATTCTTTAAGCAAAGGAAGATTTTCAGGCAACCTCAAAAGAACTGTCTACATCCTAGTCACCAATTTGCTTCTAAACTTTTAAAGGCTGAAAAGATCTTTTCAGCTTTACAGAGTTTTGTCTTCAAGTTAGATTATTTATTTTTATTTAATTTTTCAATCATTTAAGCATTTTTTTTTAGTTCTACTCCTTTCTGTCCTTTATTTTCATTTTGGGAGTAATATTGCACTTTTATTTACTTATTATGCTAAGTTAGCGTAACTTCTGTAAGCCTCGTTGTAGTAGCCCAAAGCGATAGATTAAGCTGGGAAAAAAAAAAAAAAAAAAAAAAAAAGAAAAAGAAAAAAAAGAAAGAAAGAAAGAAAGAAAAGGTAAAGAACTCGCATTCCTAAAATATTCGATCATAGGAGGAAGAGATAAAGAGGAAAGAAATCCTTCGTTCCTGAAAGTTGACGGAGTAAATTATGTTAAGGGGAAGTCACTGATAGCACGCAAAGAACACAATGCATGCATATACACGCAAGCGGATAAGAATTCCATTCTATAAACAGCAGTGAATGTTTTGATTTCAT